TTTAGGGTTTAGAGTTTAGAGTTTAGGGTTTAGTGTAGGACATTTTCAGGTGGGGAGTTTAGGGGACATAGGGCTTCTATAAGGCTTCTATAAGGTATATAGACCTTCTATAAGGCTCCTATAAGGATAACTACCCACCTGAAAATGTCCTAGGTTTAGGGTGTAGGATACAGCCCTGATAAAACCTACAACCTGAGACATCTTACAAAGCCCTAGAAACTCTACCGACAACCCTAAACCCTACAACCCCGCAGCCCTAAACCCTGAACCCTAAACCCTAAACCCCTAAACCCTAAACCCCAGCAGCGTCCCTAAACCCTACAACCCTGCAGCCCTAAACCCTAAACCGAACGCAGGAATCTTGCCAGCAACCAGTACAAGCAGTTCCTCACCACGGAGCGGCTCACTTCCCTGACAAAGTCGGTGAAACCCAGAGAGCTGCATTTATCCAAAAGGGTTTCTCAGTAGCTGAGTGGATACACTTTACACTTTGGGGGATAATATTACCTACTACGAGACTGAAAGTGTACACTTTTCTGGGCTTATGAACTCAGCAACTAGGGTTTACAGCGAGCCCCAAAAAGTTGGAACATGGGTTTAGGATGGCTAGTTTAGTGCTAGGACCCCTTATACTCTACCTTAAGGGCATAGGGATCGTAATGCTCCACCTTTATGGCTTCTACTATAGCGTCGTTGGGTGAGGGGGTTTCGGGTTTGATGAGTTGGGCTTTACGGTTTGGTGGTTAAGATGTTGTGTGTCTTTCGAGTTAAGGTTCGGCGTGAAGAAATTTTAATAAGCATGGTCCTGCACATGTTGTCATAGACCAGCCTACAGTCTACCCAAATAATTCATGTTCATCCCTGGTTCACTTAGATTTTATCACGTTTTAACTAAATGGCCTCACCTCTTCCGAGAAAAGCAGTCCAATTAGACTCTTTAGGGATAGGGCGGTTAGACTGTTTAGGGATAGGGCGGCGTGGGTTTCGGCTGCCGCAGAAACCGTGGTCTGAATTATTGAACGTTTTCAGGATGGATGTCAACATTTCATGTGCCTGCCCATCCTTCACTGTTGGAACTGTGTAGCGAACAAGAGCGCACCTCCATACCAGTTCCATAGTTTTGGTTATATTCCGGCTGCAAGAGCCCGGAAGATGCTGGTACCGCAATTAGTCATAGCTCTCTTTCTCTTCTTCGTGCACTATGGAGCCGTTGGCACAATCGTGCGAGCAAGATTGCCGGACAATCGGCCACTGGAAACGCTGGTTCCGTATGAGGAAGCATCTTTGGATACCCTGACTTCTGAACAGAAGGAGTATCTTCGCAAAGCCTTTGAGGCTTTGAAGCTCAGAATTGAGCCGTAACAGAGACGCCACAGGAGTTTTTGAAAAAGAGTCTGGTGCTAGAGTGCTTTCATGCACTCAAGCAGTTTCATGTCCGCACCTCCCTGCCAGGTTGCTGGCATGCATCTCTTGACCCGTGCGCTCGTGCAACGCCTGCAAGCGGCGGTCTAGGGCAGGTCTGTGCCACACCTGCCAGGCGTGGAGCGTATCGTGCACGAATTTTTGCTCATGCACCCAGGCATGGGGAGAAGAACTCGATGCAGAGAACAACTGTGACAGCCCCATGGTGTGGAGCATGGCGTGTTGGAGCTTAACTCTCGACCGGCTTGCTTACAACCCAATTACGGTACTTATACCCCGCTTACTTAGTCCCCTGATCCTGTAGGTACCCCCATCAATCCCATAAGACTCGCCTTGAGCCCCAGACACGTACAAAGGAACCCTCTTTTCCCTATTGACGACGTCCCATGATTGTTGACACTTTCTGGTTGTAGGGTGAGGGGCGGCTTGAGGGTTTAAAAGCTGTTTTGGGGAAACCCAAAGCCCAAAACCCTAACCCCTAAACCGTAGTTTTGGGAGGGTATGGGACTTCAAGGTTTGCGGGCTAGTGAGTCCAGTGAGTCTATGGTTTTAGGGCTCGGGGTGGTTGGGTTTCGGGTTTAGGACCGTTTAGGGTTTTGGGTTTCGGGTTCAGAGCTGTTTAGGGTTGAAGGTCTTGTCACATGAGCCATAGACAGGTCAAAACGGAAGCTTCTTGCACCCGAGGAGTTCTTTAACCCACATTTTTCCGTAAATCCTAATCCTAAACCCCAAACCCGAGACCCCAAACCCAAGACCAAACCCTAAACTCAAAGCCTTGATTTTTTTCCGTAAAGCCGAACCCGGCAAGCCCCAAAGGTTTCTGGAATTGGGTCCTGGGGTCGTTAGTAGCACCGGGGACTCAGTAACTGGAGTTGTCAGCGAATTAACTAGAGCTTAGTTCTCCTATACCCGACCTTTAAACTTTTTGGGCTCGTGTAGTTTAGCAGCAATCTTTTGGGTGACTCACCGGCTGCGATCTGCTGTGTGGCTTTTAGTGCTTAGGCACGGACATTTCCACGTCCAGGAGGAGAAGGATGAGAAGCTGCAAGGCGTCCCCCACGCGATTGCCGGGGACTGCCTGCGGCGTTTGTGTCCAGGGGCAGCTCCTTGGAACCCTGACAAGGCACACCGCTGCATTGAGTGTTTGTCTTGCATGAGCCGCGTCCGCAACAGACTGCAAGAGTTTCAGACGACAGGGAGCGCCAGCAACTTCTTGCCACCAGCGTGAAGATGACCGACCAGAATGCTGCGCATTTCTTTGTGTGTCCCGCAGCTGCATTCCCTGCTGCAGGGTCTACCTGCTTGATAATTAGCCGCGGGCAGGTGGAGTGGCTTTAGACGACCTGCGGGCTTGTCCGCCTCAAGGGTCTCGCTTGAAGTACAGAGGCTGGGAGCGAGTCTAACAGCATCCAATGCTGCCAGTTCCAAAGGCGAGAGTTAGCGTACATATACTGTCGCGAACTTGTGGTAAATGTCCAAGTATGTATTTCCCTGGCTATTGGGGAAGTAAGTAGAGTCCTATCTACTTAGAACCCCCAATTTAGGTACCTTCAACCCCAGTGATTAAGTCCCCTGAACCTCCAAGTAGGGTTTCGGGCCAGCCGGTCTAGGGCTTCGGTCCAGCCTGATAGAGGCGTGAGGATTTCATGTTTCGCGTGGGGGAAGGTGTGTCTTAGGAGACCCACGTGAACCTTCAACCGTGAACCCTAAACCCTAGACCAGCTTAAAGCAACCACACAGTAATCCCTAGTGGGTGGGGTGTTCAACTTAAGCCCTCGACCTTAGCAATCCCTGCAGGGTCTAGAAGGGATTTAAGGGGACATGGATTTCAGCTACTATAGGGGCCTTGATAATCAGAATAGGAGTTTGGGGTCCTTGGAAACAAAAAACTGATAAGGAGCCCCCACGATAGAATAGGCAATTCTTAAGGCCCCTATAATACCAGCAGTTCATTTCAATGCCGAGTTCGGGGCCCGAGGCTGATGGAGGCTTTTCCCAACCACGTCGAGGCCCACCTGCATTCTAAGGCGTTACGAGGTCTCACGGCCTAAGCTAAAGGTGGTTGAAGGTTGTGTTAAGGCTTGCAGCTGTAAGGCCTTGCGGGTTTAAGGCTTTTGGGGGCTTCAGGGTGGTTTTATTTAAGCGTTGCGGGGGGGATGTTGGAGGGGTTTAAAGTTTCGCGAGTCAGGGCTGTCCATTTGCAGAGGTGCTCCCGCAAAAAACAGACAAATACTGTTGATGATATAAACCCTGCACGACCCTAAAGGCCCTAAACCCTAAACCCTAAAACCAACTATGGGAGTTATGGCATATTCCTTGTGATGGGCAGTGCAGGATTTATTATATCATCAACCGTAGGGATGGAAAGGTTCGTTCAAGGCGGTTTCCTGAAAGTTCTTTGGGTTGTACCCTAAACCCCCAAGCCTAAACCCAAAGCCCTACACCCTAAACCTTAAACCAAAAACCTCAGGAGGCTGTGTTTCAGGTTAAAGCTGTGGAAGCTGGACCGTCTTGTCCTTACAGATGTAACAACTAACAACACGACATCTAGATGTAAGTCAACCATTGACACAGTCAGCATCCAACACAGAAACACACATCCCGCCACCTCACTTGAATCGAACCTTGGAAGAAGCAGAGGCCGTCCAGACTGTGGTCCCCAAAGTGCTTTGGCAGCCATACCTTACCCGTGTTGTGCAAAATGCTGCCCGGTCGTCCTCGACTTCGCCCTCCTCGTCCACGCTCACATCCTCGCAATTCGTCGAGTTCGTATGCCTCGGCCGTGGGATCAAGGCAGCTGACTGCGGCTGGCTGCCAAACGTTTCTTGGCTTGCTGAGTCTCCGGTCCGGACACTTACCCGACCCACATGATGGATGATTCAATGCTGGTCGTTCTGTTTTCTCATGAGTCCCATTTGTTCTAAACCTCAGCCTTGACGGATGACATGGGGAATCTTCGGAAGCATTGCCCCGAACCCCACTACGTTTCAGAGGCTTGGAGCGCCGGTGCTTTCGGGTTTCTGGGTGGAGGGTTTGTTGTATGCGTTTCTTTCTGTTTGGGGTTTTGAGTTTTGGATTTCAGATCGTGCTTGTAGCATCTAGGGTGTCGGGTTTGACCTTTAGCCTTTATGGCAGAGAACCCTAAGA